CTCTTCTTGTCTTTCACCTATTTTCTAATTGAATTTTTTTTTTTTATTGTTGAGTTTGGAGAGTTCTTCACGTATTCTAGAGATTAGTCTTTTGTCACAATATGTGGTTTGCAACTATTTTCTCCCAGTTGTAGCTTGTCTTTTCAACTTCTTAACAGAGTCTTGTGAAGAGCAAAAGTTTTTAATTTTAATGAAGTCCAATTTATTAATTTCTTTTTTTAGGGATCATACTTTCTGTGTCATGTTTAAGAACAGTTCACTAAGCAGTAGGTATTGAAGATTTTCTCTTAAAAGTTTCATAGTTTTAAGTTTGACATTTAAACCTATGATCTACTTCGAGTTAATTTTTGTATAAAATATGAGGCTAGGTCAAGAATTTTTTTTTTTTTGGCCTGTGAATCTCTAATTTCTTCAGCACTATTTGTTGAAAAGAATATCCTTCCTTCATTGAATTACTTTGCCAAAAATCAGTTGACTGTACTTGCGTAGGGGTATTCCTGGATTCTCTATTTTGTTCAAGTGGTCTCTGTGTCTCTCTCTCTGCCAATACCATACCATTTTGATTGTTGTTTCTATACAGTAAATCAGGTAGAATAGTTGCTCCTCCCACTTTATTCTTTTTTTCTCCCTCAAAATTATTATGGCTATTCTAGTTCCTTTGCCTGTCCATATAAATTTTAGAATAATCTTGTGTATAGTTACAAAAAATCTTTTTGGGATTCTGATAAGAATTTCATTAAACTTATATGTTAATTTGGAGAAAATTGGCATTTTTAATATGTTGAGTTTTCTAATCTATGAACATAGTATGTCTGTCCATTTGTTTCGGTCTTCTTTCATCAGCATTTTCTAGTTTCATCTTCCAAATCTCGTACATTATTAATTAGATTTATACATAAGTTTTGTTTTGGGTTTTTTTTTTTTTTAGCAATTGTATTAATTTTAGTTTCCACATATGCATTGCTAGTATATAGAAATAAAATTGATTTGTGTATGTATGTTATTTTTGTCTTGTGTTTCAGCCCCCAAAATGAGTACCTTTGTTAGTTTTATAAAGTCAATGCTTGCTTAGATTTACCCAAATGTTTACTAATTTGTCTTTCTTCTCATTCTTTCTGGCTTGCTTTTCTTCTTCTGAAGGAACATCTTTTAAAAGTACTCTCAGTAGAGTCTGTTTCTTGTAAACATTCTATTTATTCAGTTTCTTTGTTCCACTTAATTTTCTGTATGTATTTTCTTTTCTTCTTTTTCATTGTTGTTGATTTTGTGTTTGCTGAGTCTTTATGTTTTTCTAGTTTTTGATTTTGATTTGTAGGATTGTTAGTTTCCTTTTTGGTTACCTTAATATTTACCCCTATTTTTCTAAGTTTATACCAGTCTTTTATTTATTTATTTCACCTTGACTTCCTCTCCATATGAAAAATCTATGTCTACATTTTTCAAGTCCCTCTTTTTTTTTTTAATGTTGTCATCTTGTATATACTGACATCTGTTTCCCTATTTTCAGTGTTCTAGCCTTGATTTACTTTTGTGACTTCCCTATCTGGGTTGCTATCTGGTGGCTCTGTCCTGTGTTCTAGTCTTGGGTTGTTATCTGATGTTACTGATTTTATAACTGGAGGACTCCCTTTAGTATTTCTTGTAATTTTGGTTTGGTTTTCGCAAATTCCATAAACTTCTGTTTCTCTGGAAATGCCCTAATTTTGCCATCATATTTGAGAGACAGTTTTGCTGGATATATAATTCTTGGATGGCAATATTTTTCCTTCAAGGCTTTATATATGTCATCCCATTGCTTTCTTGCGTGCATGGTTTCTGCTGAGTAGTCCGAGTTTGCTCTTATCGACTCCTTTGTAGATGACCTTTCGTTTATCTCTAGCCGCTCTTAAAATTCTCTCTTTATCTTTGGTTTTGGCAAGTTTGATTATAATATGTCTTGGTGACTTTCTTTTGGGATCTACCTTATGTGGGGTTTGAAGAGCATCTTGGATAGATATCTTGTCATCTTTCACGATATCAGGGATGTTTTCTGCCAACAAATCTTCAACAATTCTCTCTGTATTTTCTATAATCCCCCCTGTTCTGGTACTCTAATCACTTGTGAGTTATTCCTCTTGATAGAGTCCCACATAATTCTTAGGGTTTCTTCATTTTTTTTAAATCCTTTTATCTGATTTTTCCTCAAATATGTTGGTGTCAAGTGCTTTGTCTTCAATCTCACTAATTCTGACTTCCATTGCCTCACTTCTGCTCCTATGACTTTGTACTGAGTTGTCTGATTCTGAAATTTTATTGTGAATCTTCTGGATTTCTGATTGCTGTCTCTTTATGGATTCTTGCAGCCTGTTAAATTTGTCATTATGCTATTTTCTAATCTTTTTAATTTCCTCTAGTGTGTGTTCTGCATTTTGCTTAATTTCCTTCCTAATTTCTTGAAGAGTTCTTTATATTAATCTTTTGTATTCTGTCTCCAGTAATTCCAAGAAATTTTCCTCTTCTGGAAAATTTCTAGATTCTTTAATTTGGGAGCTTGCTGAAGCTGTCACGGATTGCCTCTTAAAATGATTTGATATTGACTATTGTCTCTGAGCCATCAATAAGTTATTATATTTATTTATTTTATGTTTGCTTACTGTGTCCTAGCTTCATTTTTTTTTGATATGCCCAAATAGGCTGCTCATATGAGTTAGTTTGATTATTGGCACCTCTGAAGATTAGATCTGTTACTAGGTATGTGCGCTCAGGAGTCCACCCACTCCTCCTGTATGGATTCAGCTCAGGTGCCCAGGTAGAAAGCCACCAAGTGTGTGGTGTAGACTCTCACTTACAGTCCTAGACAGGCATGGGTGTTTGGTGTAGGCACAGGCATCTGGCTATAGCAGGGGGACACTCTGAGCAAGGCAGGGGGCCGACGGCCACCTCCAAGTGTCCAGGAGGAAGGTGCATCCCTATTCTCTACAGCACATAGGTGGGTGGGTTTTGCAGCCGGACTATGAGCACCTAATGCTGTTGGCTGTAAGGACTGGGGGGCACCTCTTATTCATGGGCCCCTATCGCAGGTGGCTAGGTGGCGTGGGTGGAGCCACCAGTTCTCAGGCCCCTGACGTGGGTAGGTGAAGACCCTGCTTAATGGGCTGAGCAGTGTCAAATGTCAAGAACCTGCCACTTCATAGCTGAAACAGTTGAAGTTAGAGTTCCGGTATATACCCTGTTGTACTGCGGTAATGAGGGCCTATGCTGTTGAGATGGGCCCACACAAGTCTATGCAGGGGGAAAGGCACTCAAAGTCCATGGGTCCCTTTATGCCTGTGCCTAGGCAAAGGAGCTGTGCCTACCCTGGGTTTCTGGCTTAGGGGAGCCAGCAGTTTATTTTTTTCCCATTTGTTAATTTGTTCACTCTCCAAGGCAGGGAGAATGACTCCAGGAGTGTGACAGATCCTACTTTCAGCCCAGGGAACTTGGCACTTACTGAAGCCAGTCCAGGACCCAGTGTAGAGCAAGGAGAGGGGAAGTAAATGGGAGAGAGGTTTTTCCCTAAGGAGGGTGTTTTTGATCTGTGCAGTAAGCCTATGCAAGTACTCACCTTTTGCAGATGAGGGCTGCTTCTCACTGGTTCTGGGTGGCTGTGTAGAGTCTCTAGCACTGGGTCTCTCCCGGTGCGGAAAACACACCTCCCGAGCACCACTGCTTGCCTGTCTCACCAATCACCCGTGAGCTGCTCCAGCCTGAAGGGCTCAGGCTCTCACTGGGTCAGGTCTGGCAACTCCTCGCTGCTTCTGAACCATCTCTCCCCGCCACTCCAGTCCGGTTCCTCAACTCTGGCTTTGATGTTCAGGGCTCCCAGATTGCCGTATATAATCAAATCACTTGTTTTTTCGGGTCTTTGTTGTAAGAGGGTCCGCCAGAAGCGTCTGACTACTCTGCCATCTTGGCCCCGCCTCTAAACATTCTATTTAAAAAATGGTTTTCTTTAGCCTTCACTCTTATGTAGGTAGAAAATCTGACATTGCCATTTTCTCTCCAACTTTAATATCATTTCATTTCTTCTCACCTCTGGTGTTGTTTTTCTAAAGTCTGCTATCTGACAATTTCTTTGTCTCTGGTTGTTATTAAGATCTTCTCTTTTTTTAGTTAAGAGCTACCGCTCCTAACTAAAAGGTCAGCAGTTGAAATCCACCAGCCACTCCTTGGAAACTATATGGGGCAGTTCTACTCTGCCCCATAGGGTTGTTATGAGTCAAAATCTGCTCGATGACAACAGGTTTGGGTTTTTTTTTCTGTTTCACTCTTCTCCATAATGTGTCTCAGTAAAGAATTAGCTTATTTATCCTGTTAGTAACTCTTTTCTGCCTCCTGGATCTGAGGTTTCTTACCCTTCATCAAATCTGGAAAACTTTCAGTCATTTTATCTTCAAATATTGTGTCTCTCTCATTCTCTCTCCTGGAACTTCTATTAAACTTTATATTGGATCCCTTCATTTTCTTTTTCTAGTGTCTTAACTTCCCTTCTGCTCACTGAACTTCCTTCCGGGCAAATTCCTCAGAAATATCTTCCAATTCCATTGTGTCTAATATGCAGTTTAACTTATTCATTTGACTATTTTTTGACAGGCAATATATTAACATGATTCAAAATCTAAACAAAATGTCTAGAGACTTGCTTCCACTCCTGTCCTTATGTACCCTGTATCTCCCCATTCATACGCCATAACCACTTTTATTAGATTCTTCTCTATCTAGTGTTTATCTAATGCAAATTATAGCCAAGTCAAGTATGTGGTCTTATTTCCTCTACCTCTGTCATTTACCTGATTTTTTTATCTGATAATGTATCCTGTATCTTTTCCAAATTAACACAGGGCATCCTCATTCTTTTTCTATAGCTGCATAACATTCCATTGTCTTGATGTACAATAGTTTATTTAGCTGGTCCACTTTTATTCAGCATTTGGTCATGTCAAATATTTTGCAGCCAAAATAACGCTTCTTCCATTGAGATTTTTCATTTAAGTGACTTTTTCATTTCTAAAGCTGTATTTCTTCTCAAATCTGGATGTTTTATACTGTCTTATTCTTTTTTCACTTGCTTATTCTTTTGTCTTTAACATTCTCATACTATCTAAAAGTTCTATTTAAGTTCCCAGGAGTCTATTATCCCTTTATCTTTTGTGTCAGCTGGTATTCATTTGGAGCCCTGGTGGAGCAGTGATTAAGCGTTCAGCTGCTAAAAAGGTCAGCAGTTCAAATCCACCAGCCACTCCTTGGAAATCCTACGGGGCGGTTCTACTCTGTCCTATAGGGTCGCTATGAGTCAGAATCAACTTGATGGCAACGGGTTTGTTTTTTGGTATAAATTTATGGTAGGTAGACTGTTCCCTTGTATGGTTTGTAATTTTAGATTGTTGAACTCACTGCTGGCAGGCTGTCATGCACCATGGGTTGAGGATATCCCTCTCCATAAAGAATTTGTATTTGCCTTTCCCAGGTGCCTGAGGGGTGAAGCCAGTACAGGGTAACTTTATGTTAATTTATAAGTTTATGTGTTTCCAGGCCACATAAACAGTATTGCTACAAATTTAAATGCACATGAGGACAAGCTCCTGGCTAAAAATGTTCACCGGAAGCTCTCTCTCATCTCCCAGTTCAGAACTCAGGCCAAAATAGACGAGCTTCCTCTTCACTTCCCTGGGGTTGGGGTTTTTCTAGATCACCTGTGGCACTGAGCACAGTCCTAAAAGGATGCTGGCCTCATAAATTTCACTATCCTCTTTTTGGGGCTTTCATTTGAGCCCCAAATGTTTAAGTGTACCATGTGAGCTTTTGGTTTCTGTTTAACTCTTTCTGGACACTAGAGGTTGCAGTATCTTTGAGCTGACGGTTACCACAATTTATCTAGCATTTCTAGGTGTTTTGTATTTTGTGAAATATGTTTTGTTGTTGCTGTTGTGTGAATAAGCATTTAAATTACCCCTTTGGGACAGCAGTGAGGTAGTAAAGACCATGCACTTGAGGTTGTTGTTGTTATGTGCTGTCAAGTCAGTTCTGGTTCATAGCCATCCTACGTATGAAAGAATGAAGCACTCCCTAGTCCTGCGCCATCCTCACGATCATTGCTGTTTGAGACCATTGCTGCAGTCACTGTGTCAATCCATCTCGTTGAGGGTCTTCCTCTTTTTTGCTGACCCTCTACCACTTGAGGTTGGGCACATCAATCTGAATCCTGGCTCTTCCACATAATAGCTCTGTAATCAGTTTACCTGTCTAGATGTCAGTTTCATCTGTAAAATAAACTCATGTGAAGAGTATATGAATAAAGGATATAAAATGCTTCATACAGTGCCTAGAACATATTAAGTATTTATTAAGTTAAACTTTTACTTTTTTGATTTGTAGTAATTTTTACAAAATAAAATGGTAGTTGTTAGGAGGGTGGTAAATGTATCATGCATCTACTTTTTATAGTAGCAATTAGACTAACTGCAATAATTAAATTTCCCCATTATTTACATACCTATAAAGCACTATTTTTATCTACCTACTGATAGTACAGTGAAACCTCTGAGAGCCGGAATTTGACTGCCTTGCTTTCTGGTCTCACAGGTTTCCTGCCTTTGACAGTGTGCAGTCTTACCACTTTTCTATCATTTGTTTTAGTAGAAAATATTTGAATTTTCTGGCTCTCATAGCTTTCAGCTTTCACAGGTTTTACTGTACTAGCACCATGCTCTGACCACATCTAATGGTGAGGTGAGCACAATATTTTAAAAAGGATGATGAAATAAAGATTATCACATGAAATAAGGAGCTGCTGTGGAAGATACATTAAAAAAAGAGTCGAAGTTAGAGACAGTATTTGTGGCACAGACTCTTCTTACCAGTAGCGCTACCCAAAAAACACAACAAGCAGCCTTACAAACAGGTGAGCTTGTCATTCCAAGTGTTCAAAAGCAGCAGCTGAAGGATTAAGAGACAGAACAGAAAGAATTTCTATCTTGGGTAATAAGATTACTATGATCAGTTTCATCTAATAACATTCTGTAGATAACAGAATGAAAAGGAAAAGTTAGAAGTGAGCGGTGCTATAAAAGGAGAAAATGCTATTTGGATAACTGCTTTATGCCACTAATTAAAAATCCCAGTGAACACTACATAAGAGGAAAAGACAAAGAAATACATGAAAAAAAACTTCTTAAATAGGTTAGGGACACAAAAAACACTTTTAGGTGTTTGGACTTGGGCTTGATTTTTTAAAAAAATTATTAGCCATTAAAATTGAATAATGAGAAAAGCTTCTCTTATGCCTGGTTCCATTCCATACCCACGATGCCACCATCAGAATTTCTCTCTCATATGTATATTCTTCTGATTACATTGTTATTTTTCTCCTTTTCATTATAGACATTCATGTCAGAGTAAACGCAAACATTAAAATAAGAAAATACTTGAAAAACAGTCACAGAAGAAAAAGAATTAAATTTTATTTCACATTAATAGAAATTGTGAAAAAAGATTTACATTTTCCCACATTACAGCAAACATTTCAATGGAATAAGAGATTTACCATAAATAAGATTTTGCTGATTTGCATAACTGAAACGAGTTTATATTCTTCAGAGTAAAGGAAAATGACTTAGTAAATGATTGTTTAAAATTTTAAAATCCAGACATAAACATATGGCTTCATCATTAACATTCTATATAGTACATTACTAAATTATTTCCATTATCAATTAGCACCCATTTATAAAGATGCATTCCTAACATTGTTCTGATCAGTTGCAACACAGCAGAAAAATTAACAACAGTTAAAAAATATCAAGCATAAATTTCTGCTACATATTAAAGTGTCTAGTAACTATATGTGTAGGGTTTTAACTAACCTTTATTGTCCATAAATTTGTTTTAAAATAATTTCTATCAGTAATCTGAAAATTTTGACTATATAAAGTCAAACGAATGCTATTTTTATGTTTGCACAAAAATTGACTTAAGTCAAAATTTCCAGTAAGTTCACTGGCAGATAGAAATAAAGCAAATTTTTTCTGATGGACTGCTAATTTTCCACAGTAATTGATTTCAAACATATGCACAAAAACAAGTAAACTCAAGTCTACACGGAGACTCACCTTAGACCAAATCATCTTAGAAGTTACAATTTTTAAGACTGAAGTGTTAAGTATTTCAGAACATAATAGAATATGACCTGATTTTTCTTCCAATTGATTACAAAAATAAATAAATAAATAAAACCACAGAATTATTCCTGTTACCGGGACTGAAGATTCTAGTAACTAAATAAGTCTACAGTATCAAAAATAAGTAGTGCAGAGGTCTTAAGTGATGTCTGGTTTCTTTACACAGTATAAATGCATTTAAAATACCACATCTGTGATTTAGAATGCCAATTACAATATTCATTAACAGTAGGTGTCTATGGCAGAAGGTCCACTGTGAAGGATAATAACTGAAGAACACATTTCTTTTCTAGAGAGGAGAAAAGAATATTAAACCAATGATATCAGAAAAAAAGAATAAGAAAAAATCCTGGTCCCCAAAATAAAAGGGCCATTAATTGAGAAGAGCAATATTATTATTCTTTCATTGACACATAAAAGCATTATCCCTACTATTAGAAATAATGTAATACCATCTCATTCTTTTTCTGTATTATAATTATTACATATACATATATAAAAACACAGACACTGCATGGTGACTAGGCAATTTCGGAATAAACCTATAGTCTAAGTCACAGCATATTTAAACCGTTTATATCTTAACTGCTCATTTATACATGAACAAATTTTCAGTAAGCATACTAATAAATTTCAAATAATGTAATAAAAAATCTGGTTACAGTATTTTATCATTTGCTGAATTGTATACATGTGGGAAAAAGAAGCTAGATGCTTCACCTATTTTAATACTAGTATGTTCTGGATCATATTATACAAATACATGTCTAGAAACTTAAAAGATCAGAAGTTTCCCATGAGGAAACATTATTTAGTCTGTCACTGGTATTTATTTGCAAAACATTCTAATGCTGCAAACATGAGAAGTTTCAGAATCGGGCACGTGAACAGCTTTCTACTCTACTGCAATGACGCTGGTGCACTTCCACACAAGGCCTCTTAGTGGTGTCAATCCACTGGAGGTAGGAGCTTATCAATGAATTGCTTGACATCCATCATTTCCTGTTTGGGATAAAGTGATTCAATAAGCAGTTATATAAATCAGACATTAAATCCCCTCTGAAGTGTTTAAACTACCACTAACTATATCTATCCATAGTGTACATAGGTAAGGTTAAAGCACATTGTTACTAAAACTAAAAACCAAACCCATTGCTGTCAACTTGATTTCCCACTCATAGTGACCTTATAGGACAGAGTAGAACTGCCCCATAGGGTTTCCAAGGAGCGGCTGGTGGACACGAACTGCTGACCTTTTCAGCAGCTGAAAGCTTATCCACTGTGCTACCAGGGCTCCATACTCTTACTATTACAGTTAAATAAAAAAAATCACAACAGAGAAATGAGGCACCAATAGAAATTTCAGAATATTTCCTATGATTATTATTATTGTACATTCAAATTATAGCCCCCATCAATTATCTCGTCCCAGGACAATGGTCTGTATTTTCCTATATTTGAACAATATAAAACACTAGGGGAAGGGCTTTAAAAGTGAAAGCACTCTCAGTAGCTATATTGAGAAGTCTCAGTAAGTATATAATTACTGACAACTAAAATCAGTGAGTAAGCCTAGCTTTTAACATTTCCCTCATTAGAATGAAATGCTAAATGCTACATCCATTATCATAAAACATTCTGTATCTTTCATAAGGAGTTACATTTAACTAATCCTCTGAAAATGAGCATGTAACTAAGATAGGTCTGGAAAGACAGGAAAATGAATATACCAAACACTACAGAAGACATTTCTTCCTAGAAGACTTCTGCATCTGGCTCAGTTTTCTTACCTCCCTCAAACCCATTTACTACCATCATCTCTAGTGTATCAAGACCTTATCCTCACAGTTTCACAAACTAGCAATGCAGAGAAGCTTCAACCTTGTAGCAATTCAGTCACACAGAAAACCACCACATAGGAAAGTGTTCTACTTTCTAACACCCTCACATCCTGACATGTTCCTGTGACACATCTCTTACAATATTCTACCTCTCCTCCTCACTTAATGCCAATCTACTTTCTGTTCCTAATCACTCAGTCCAGTATCCTCAAATGTGACATCACAAAGAATCTTCTATGGAGCTTTCATTCTAAAGACGTATCATACAAACTCAGATACCCAAGTTCACCCAATACCAGAACTTCAGAGTTTGGAGCTTGTGCACCTGCATTTTTAAAATCTCCGTGGTAATTGTGATGTAACTGTTGAAAACCACTGCGCTAAGCCCTCAGTCCCTCCTGGATACGCAGAGCGCCCAGCCCTCCCTTTCTGAATTCAACACTTAATTATGGTTTCAACTATATTCTCAATAGCACTTTATAATACTAGCCCCCTTTTCTTTCTGGATGAATCATATACCATGGCTTTTTCTGCCCCTGAAGCAAATGATTTAACCAGGCTGAGTAACTTTAAAACACTGCTGGCTTGAACCACCTTAATGCTTAGGAATCAATTTTTCATTCTAGGCCTTTTGAAGCCTCCAAACATATCCAGGTTTTCCTTCTTATCAAGTAACCACATCTCCTATTTTACTAAAAAGATAAAGAGCATCTAATATGAGTTTTCAACTACTCTCTTCTCTACCTCAACAGCCCGTTTCTATTCATCCATCCTCTTCTATCTTGATGCAAAAGTGTTTTTCTCCTTTAAGGCAAGCACTTCCCATTTTGGGACTTAATTCTTTGTATAAGCCCTCTAAGGTTTCCCCCATCTCAATTTATCTTCTCTTTATTGCATCACCTCCCTCCCTTTCGCTGCCCCACAGACTTCTTTCTCCCATTCTATTTTTTTCTTTAAAAATATATATATATTTTATTACATTTTTGGTGGAAATGTACACAGCAAATTAGGCTCCCATTTAATAATTTCTAGACATATTGTTCAGTGACATTGGTTACATTTTCCACACTGTGTCAGCATTCTCATTATTTCCTTTCTGGTTGCTGGAATTCAAAGCCCTTTTAAATATATTCCTTTACACTGTCCATACTTGTATTTCATTCCTTCACCACTGGAAAATTCACTGTCACTTGAGCATCCCCTATACCGTCCTTCTACCTGTCTTTGTTAATTTGATTTCCTATTAACTCCACTTCCATAGGTAGAATTCCTGCTTTTAATTCAAGGCTCTCAGATATTCTCTTCCAAATTAAACCTTTCCTGATTCCCTCATCTCATGTTTCCATTTTTTTTGAGCATCCAGAGAAACTGGCATGTCTCTTACATCACCCATTCTACTCTGTCTTGTAATCTGAAAGGTTTTCTTTTCTTGACTTTCCTCCTTAATAAAAGACTTACTAATTTTGTGTCCCTGCAGTGTCCTGCAAACACAGGGCATTTTTTTTTTTTTTTTTTTGTAACAGACTCCTATCCTGTTTAAAAAGAGCCTTTCCCCCTTTTACCAAAACCTCTTCTAAAAGGTTTATATATGTTGCTTCTACTTCCTTATTTCCCTATCCGTTTCACACATTCCACTGCTGTTTGGCTTCTATCCCCTCAAACATCCAAGGTTACAGAGGCCTACTTCTCCTTGCTCATTCTCTGAATCATCTGTCACTGCTCCCTCTCATTCTGAAACTGTCTCCGTCCATACCCTCCTTCAACACCTAACTTCTTTTTCCTTAGCCTGAATCTAAATATAGGCATCCCCCACAACTCTATTCCTCACCTTTTTTCTCATGATATTCTCCCAAGAAAATTCTTTACTGATCAACAATATTGATAATGATTCCAAGTCTCTACTTCTAGGCTTGAGCATTAGAGAAGTATTTCCAACATCTCATTTTGTTATTGAGGGGTACATTAATCTCAGTATGTTTATTAAACTTAATATTTTCTCCTTCATATCATCCTAAAACCATTTATTTCAAGTCTATGAATGACATGACAGCCTCTTATCACTTGAGCTAGAAATCTAAGTCTTCTTTGACACCTCCTTTCTTACCCCAGATAGTCACTAAATGCTGTATCACCTGTTTTCAGAATATAGATGAGATCACATCTCCCTTCAATCAGAAAATGTCAATGGCTTCCTGCTGCCTAGCAAACAAGTCCACCCTCAGAACAACATCATCATTCTCAATGGCTAAGTCTCCACTTCCTATGTCCTCTGTTCTACAGCACCAGACTTTCATGAGAGACTCCAGCCATACTGGCTAGCTTGTCCTGCCTCTCCTACAGTCCTGTCTCTGTATACTTGCTAAGCAAATCCTTCCCATGCTCCAGGGTTAGCTCTTCTATCACCTTCTCAGTGCCTCCTAAGATAAATCAGTCACTCTTCTCAGCAGTCTACAGCACTTTTTTTAAACTTCTAACATAATATATACTACATTCTGCCTTCCACACAGTAGTTGAATATGTCCTTCTTCCATTATTAAACTTCTAATTTTAATTATTTTAAAAGGGAATGTTTATTATTCATCTTTGAATTATGTACAATGCTTGAATGTAATAAGCAATCAGTAAATATTTGTTGAATTAAAGTGAATAAACTCTTATCTAATGATGTGCCAATGTATGAGTCAATGTGAACTCATTAATTAGCTCCATTAAATCCCAAAACAGTCAAATGTTATTTATTTTTACATATTTCATGTCACTGAACTGTACATGTAAAGAATGTTAAAATGGCAAATGTTTTGTTACCTATAAACTTACCACCAAAAGATAAAAAAAAAATCACATGGAAAAAGTTGCAAATATGGCTCTGTAACCAACGCTTCCAAACATTTACCTGTTGACATGAACTGTGCATCATGCCCTCATAAGTTTTAAAGGTTACATTGGCTGGATTTACCAATGTTTTTAGCTTTTCCACAGTAAGAGAACCAAACATTAGCGGAACTAAAGGGTCGAAATCTCCATGGCACTGGAGAATAGAAATATCTTTGTTAGCACCACTGATAGGACCCTGCAAAAAAGGAAAAAAATCATCAAGTAGTATATTTATTCAACTGTACAGAACACTATGGCAGGCATAAAAAATTGTAGCTGGATAAACACACACAACATACATTAAGTAATTACAGGCTACATTTGGCCAAAGAAGGAAAATTTTTTCCACCTCTATGCTCCCCGTATCTCTTTATTTAAACTTTTATAGGGTATATGATTACTCTGCCTTGTATATTCCCAGTGAAATAGTTGCTTGAAGCATATTATAGCTTACTTTATTTTCACATTTTCAGTGTCTTTCACTTGAGAAGTAATCAATAACTATTAGTACCAATCAGCTGAATCATGTTCTTCTCAGCTCTTCATTTAACTGATATAAACAAGAGCTTTTATTTGATTTAAATAAGAAAGCTAATAAGCAATACTTATTATGTGTATGACATCGAGTTAATATATAGTGACAAGAAAGAATGAACCCCAGATTTTAAAATGAATTAAAAAAAAAAAGCCCACACTTCTCATTTCTACCTAAGTACCATATATTGTTTCACACTGTTGAACATTTAGAAATTATATTCTATGGCAAACATTCTGTATCAAACGTAAGTATACTGAACATTCAAAAATATTACCTCTGTGTGTTAAAAATAGCCCTGATTTTAATATACATCCTGTACTTTATTAATACTCTTGAAATATAAGATAAATGAGAACAGGTGTTTCTACATAACCCAGTTCGTGTAAGACATTTTGGTGTATAAACAAAGCTTAGGAGTCAATCATGAAAGTCTAAGAAAACTCTTCTGCAAAGGTGATGGAACTGCACCAACACTAAGTGCTCATCTCTTATCTCAGGACTCCGACATGGTGGGGGCATCAGTCAGGATACCTGTGGAAATGAGGTCCGAAGCGGAAGCCAGCAACTGAGCCCCACGACACCCGCCAGTTTCTGTTGTGTGGTAAGAGCAGTATACAAAGATAAAGCTCCTCCCTGGAAAAGCAAGTAGGTAAAATCAGTGCAACACGTAAGCTGGTACAGCAACTTAAGAGCTTTCTTCTTATTATCTATTATCCATAATGTCCATAAAAATCAGATTGGGTGGCTGATGTTAAACCAAATCAGGTAAACCAGTAGAGATACATAAAGGACACTGATTCTCGACACTAAAAACCTAAGTCAGAACACAGTCTCCCAATCCGTGGAGACAGAGTTGGCAGTAAACTGCTGCACTGACAGTGTACCTTAGGGATATTCCCAATTTACAGTAATCATTTTCTCCTCTGAGAACTCGCGGCCATAAAATCAAATTTAGTCTTAAATAGGTATTATTTCCTATATGAGAAATTCAAGGTAAGGACCATGTAGTAGACACCTTTAGAGGATTTGCCTGCCCAGCTCACAACACCTTGTGTTCTGGGGACCGTGTTCCCATTGGTCATCAAGATGCCAGGCCACCCTGACCGTACTGGGGGTCCCTGGATCATGTGTGCAGATTAGATTCTTTCCCATCAAGAAGAGTCATATTTTTTTCTCCCAGGATCTTGAAACTGGGATTCAGTGACTGCAGTCAGTTTCTTTGTGTGGCTGGAACTGTAAAATGTAAATTCAAAAGCTGGAGGAGCTAGAGGAAGCAGAAGCTGACAGCCAACGTGGATGAGAGATGAAGCAGATGGGCAGAGAAACACAGACATGAACAATGGAAAGAAAGTCCTGACAGCTTTCGAAGTCTAGTTCCAGCTCCTTCCTGAGGCCTTGCTTCACTGCCTTCCTCGGTTTCCTTGACATGATCCATAGACTCATAATATCTCCTCTCCCCTTTTTTTCCTTCTTTGAAAAAGTTCATCTGTTACTTCACTGAAAAAATTTTTTAAAATATTTATTGTGATTTTGGTGAAGTTCACACAGCAGTTTAGGTTCCTATTTAACAATTTCTACACAAGTTGTTCAGTGACATTGGTTACATTCTTCACAACGCATGAACATTCTCATTATTTCTATTCCAGTTGTTCTATTTCCATTAATGTAGTTCCCTGCCCCCTCACATTCTCATCTTTGTTTTAAAGTAATTGTTGACTGTTTGGTCTCATATAGGTGTCTTTTTTTAAAAGGAACACAGTACTTACAGACGATATTCATTACTTCTTGAGCCAACTGTTATTTAGCTACAAGGTGACCTCAAGGGTTAGTTTTGGTTCAAGTTTTGAAGAGACTCAGGTCAATAGTCCTGGGAATTCCTTCAGTCTGAACCAATCCTGTAGGTCTAATTTTTTTTTTTCCCAGGAATCTGAAGTTCTGGTTCCACATTTTTTCCCCATTCTATCAGGGTGTATCTATTGTGGCCCTGATTAGAATGGCTGGTAGTGGTAGCTGGCATCATCTAGTTCTTCTGGTCTCAGGGTAGATGAGGCCATGGTTCATGTATCTTCCCCCTTTCCTGCTTAAGCTACTATGAGTTCGTCTCTGTTAATTGTAACCAATGAATCAGAAATATACACTTTCTCTTTTGAACCAAGCATTAAATTTTATACCTGTTTATGCCACAATGTGTATTATAATGTACATCATCTGTGAATTTCAACAAACCAAACCAATCTTTCTACTGAATAGTATCTTCTAAAGTATCCCCAAATTCTGACATTTCTCTAATTCAGGTAGTCTGAATACTAAATTGTTGATTTAGAAGATTTGTAGATTAGAAGCTAGGGCAATTTGGGGATAGCTCAGGTGGCTAACAGGTGATAGGCTAATGTAAAGACACAAGGTCAATATGAGATCACTGTGTCTGTGAAGAGTGTGGAAGGTGGGAGAAAAAGTATAGAAAGGAAGGAAGGAAGATGCCAAAATAAACACCCCATATTTATATTTAAATCCTATTTTTTCACCACTAAGAAAAGGAAAACATTCTCTTTTCTCTTATACCTTACTGTTACTCTCAGTATTCTCTTCCCAGGAAAGAGTACTTAAGCTTGTGTCATCAGAGTTCTGTTTAGTTAGAGGTACACAGTAGTGAATTAGAATCCTAACAGTATGTATAGTCTGGCTATTTTGAGAAGATGTATTCCACATTCCAACCAATTTAGTTAATAAATAAAATTTGAAGACACAACCTATAAGGTGAAGGCTACTGCCAAATAGATCAAAAAACCAGAAAAATAAGAGAGTATGAAGTAGAAATTATTTTGTCCATTCAAATTTAATTCAGCATTGTTGCTGTAGTGTGTTACTGAGTCGATTCTGACTCATAGCGATCCTATAGAACAGAGTAGAACTGCCCCATAGAGTTTCCTAGGCTGTAATCTTTATGAGAGCAGATCACCAGGGCTTTTCTCTCATGGAGCCACTGTGGGTTCAAACTGCCGACTTGTCAGTTAGCAGCTAAGCACTTTACCATTGTACCACCAGCATTAAAAGTTTAAGTACATCAGTCTAGAGTCTATAACATCTCCAAAAAAAAGGACTCCACCAGAGCAAAAGGATTGAAACCACAGATTTCTACATAGTATATTAATGGTGCTGACATACCACACAAACTTCATCTTACCTGAGAAAATCCTCCCAAAATAATTCTGGCAGAAGGAATTCCGTTCTTCACCTCTTGATCTATCAATGCTTTGACTAAAAAATAATGTAAAAATTAATTACCAACACTTTCAAAATTAATTACCAATACTTAATTACCAAATTGTATTGTTACAATTTAAAATCAACAGTAAAAATTAATAATAGAAAAGCACAAAGTATATTGAGGGTAAAAATAAGGGAATAAAAATACATTCTCATTTTAAATCAGTATCAATATAACTTCTGAAAACATTTATGAATGCTTTGTTGGTTATCAAATGTTTCTGAACTTACCGTTTTCTGCTGCTTGTTTGATTCCATGTTCATCCTCCTGTGAATCTGGTGAAAGCCCAATAATATCAAACCTGCAAATAAGACAAAATCTTAAAAAAATCCTGTGATTCTAAGAAAATCTACTTTTGAAATGTTTTACTAAACTCAGTCTTGTTGTTGATATTTTTGTTAGTTGCCATCAAGTAGGTTCCGACTCACGACAACCCAACGTACAACAGAATAAAATGTAGCCTGGCCCTGCACCATTGTCACAGTCACTGGTTATGCTTAAGCCCGTTGTTATGGCCACTGTGTCTTTTGACGGTCTTCCAACCTAGGAGGCTCATCTTCCAGCACTGTATCAGACAATATTCTTTTTTTTTTAATTTTATTTTATTGTATTATTATTTAAATTCTTGTTGTGCTTTAGGAGAAGGTTTACAGAGCAAATTACTTTCTCATTAAACAATAATACACGTTTTGTGACATTGGTTGCCAACCTCACGATGTGTCAACACTCTCCCCTTCTGGACCTTGGGTTCCTCATTTCCATTTGTCCAGCTTTCCTGTCCCCTCCTGCCTTCTTATCCTTGCCCCTGGGCTGGTGTGCCCATTTAGTCTCATATACATGGTTGAGCTATGTGTATTGTTTGTTTTATGGGCCTGTCTAATCTTTGGCTGAAATGTGAACCTCAGGAATGACTTCAGCACTGAGTTAAAAGGGTGTCTGGGGGCTATACTCTTGGGGTTCCTCCAGTCTCTTTAAGACCAGTAAGTCTGGTCTTTTTTTGTGAGTTAGAATTTTGTTCTACATTTTTCTTCAGCTCTGTTTGGGACCCTCTATTGTAATCCCTGTCAGAGCAGTCAGTGGTGGTAGCCCAGCACCAGCTAGTTGTGCTGGATTCAGTCTGGTGGAAGCTGTGGTAGCTGTGGTCCATTAGTTCTTTGGACTAATCTTTCCCTTGTGTCTTTGGCTTTCTTCATTCTCCCCTGCTCCAGACAGGATGGGAACAGTAGAGTATCTTAGATGGTTGCTCACAAGCTTATAAGACACCAGATGCTACTCATCAAAGTAGGATGTAGAACATGTTCTTTATAAACTATGTTATGCCAATTGAGATAGATGTCCCCTGTATCGGACAGTATTCTGTTGTGGTCCACAGGGTTTTCACTGGTTAATTTTCAGAAGTAGATTGCCAGGCCTTTCTTCATAGTCTGTCTTAGTCTGGAAGCTCTACTGAAACTCATCCACAATGGGTGTCCCTTCTGCTTTTTGAAATACTGGTGACATAGCTTCCAGTATCACAGCAACATGTAAGCCACCACAGTAAACAAACTAACACACAGGTGGGTGTGATGGTTAACGTTATGTGTCCAACCCGGCTAGGCTACGATTCTCAGCGGTTTGGCAGACACTACGTACTCGCTTCCATTTTGTGATCTGATGTGAGCAATCAATAGATTGAAAGGGGAATTTTCTTGGAGGTATGGCCTGTCTGCAGTATATAAATGGATGTGTTGGCAAAGCTCGCTCTCTTTCTTGACAGTACCCTTTTCTTGTCCCCTGACCTCCGGTTCTTGGGACATAAGCCTACAGAAGCCTCCAGCCTGCCGCCGGACTTGCAGATTTTGGGTTTGTCAGCTCCAGCAACCATGTGAGAGAGCAGAGGTCTTCAGCCTGTTGACTGACCAACGGATTTGGGACTTGCAAGCCCCATAACTGCATAAGCCATTTTCTCAAAACTGCATGAGCCATTTCCTTGAAGTAAATTTCTCTCTGTATGTAACTGTATGTGCTTCACTAGTTTAGCTCTTCTAGAGGACCCAGACTAAGACAGGTGGTGACAGCCAGTTGCTGTTGAGTTGACTCTATCTCATGGCAACCCCATGTGTGTCAGAGTAGAACTGTGCTGCTTAGGGTTTTCAATGGGTGATTTTCTCACCAGGTCTTTCTTCGAAGATGCCTCTGGGTGGACTTGAACCTCCAACCTTTCAGTTAGCAGCCGAGTGTATAACCATTTGCACCACCTAGGGATTCCAAACTCACAGTAGTTTGGATAAAAAGGGCTAACCAAACATATTATCTAGAATATGAAACTCAAATGCTTACAGAGACCAAAAAGTTCAAACACATGAATTTGACATCCTGTATGTTCTTTTCACTCCAACTAAATATAGACTCTAACGTCAAAAAGCCACAGTGCCATGTAATTTTAGGGTGAGAACAGCCTCAGAAATTATCTAGTCTAATCTTACATCCAAGCAGGGATCTTAACCCACAATCCTGAAAAGTTTGCAGTAAAATCCAGCTACTCATTTCCCTCTTCTATTAAATCTTAAGTAAATCCAATGGAATAGTTACTTTTCCTTAACATGTGACTCTTGTACACACTATTTCACACCTACTAATCGTAGGTATTTATAATGATCTTCTCATCCATATTCTGCAGAACTTTTTCATCATGAGTTGCAGAAGCATTCTGCTGGCCCTTTCTAGTTCTCTGTTGGTTATATACTTCTCTATCATCTCATTATGGTCTCCAGCAACATTAGGTAGAAAATTTGATTCTGGGATGACGATTCTACCAGATAGGGAAGATGAAGGAACCAAAGCCAAGGTAGGTCAGAACTTGAAAAAGCTGCCAAGGGCTCTAAATTAGGTAAGAAAGAAAGTGCAGAGGTAGGTTAGAGATGGATGGGAAAGCAGAAGGGACAAGAGGACAACAGACTGGAGGCCGAGATGAGGTCCAAGGACAAACAGTGTGGAAACAGGAAGGCCAGAGCAAAAGATGGATAACTATGCTTAACAGTCAGGTCTGAATCAGATGTCTTCCAAGATGAGACAGTTCCAGAAGACAAGCCCAGGGAATGACTGTGGAAATGAGCGAAGGAAAGTCACTGGCGAAGAAAGAGGTCAAGGAAGTCACAACCAGTCACGGTATGAAAGGGGCATTTACACTGGATCCCGTAGCCCTGAAAAGAGAAAAGGATGGCAGGAGGTGGACAGAAAGAAAGATGCAAAACAGGGTCTCAGAGTCATTCTGTGAAAAGATCTGATGGCAGGAGCCTCAAAGAGCAGAGCAGCAGAATCGTAATCTGGAAGTGGCTCAGAGGAACAAGGAACCAAACCCACTTCCTGACCATACAGTCCACAAGGAAGAAGAGACTATCTTGAGAAGACAAAACGGGAAGCAGCTTCCTTTAAAATTAGCCAGCTTTCCAGGAAGGCCAAAAGTTGGAAGGGTGATGAGGCTGTGGCTTAATCGGAGTGCCTTCTGACGTTTGGTTACCGAAATCAACAAATGTTTATCAAGCAATAGGAGGTATTTTCCCAAAATATTTCTATTCACCCATTCTATCCTGTTTCCCTATCAGTTTGTGCAGCCCCTTAAAAGTTTAGCCCTGAATGTAAAGTATAAAAAACTTAAATAATTAGATAAAAGGTTAAATTTAAGATTAACTATTTAACTATGCAATTTAAAAATAGCTGCACACCCAAGCACTTCCGATAAAAGACTAAGTAATATAAACAGAAGGTTCTTAATGAATAAGGAAATTCTTACTTACCAAGAAGGCATAGCCATGTTCATATTTAATGTAACAGGCATAATTGGCCTACATGGGAAAGAAAAAACCAAAAAATAAGAACAGTATACCAAAGCATAAAATCTAATAAATTCCAGCAATTAAAAATAGATCGTTACTGAGGCTCACATAAAAGTGGCATGCTATAATTTCAACACGTGAATTCCTTGAGCTGTTTCACTGCATGCACACCTGTACAATTCTGCTCTCCAGGCCTTCCGATGTGTGCTGAGCCAGAGCAGCTGCAGGAGAGACTAAGCCTGGCCAGTGAAAACCACAGTCCCTTCTAAACACTCTTATTTAAGACTTTAAACTAGACACGAGGAGGGAAACCAGTAGTCAAGGCTGTTGGAAATGTACAAAACAGACTTAGGCTAAGGACATGAGCAGTTTATTGCAAACACTGTAGCATCAGTTCCAGTATGCACAGACTACATTTCTGCTTATTTTCTAGGTCTTAGCTATGTACAGCTTTATTAAAGGACACCTAAATAAATAAGGGAAAAACAAGATTTGCATGGGAGTCTGACTCCAAAGCCTGTGTTTTCCCCACAGTATATCATATTGCCTCTTATGGGTAAAATTTAGGAGTGTTTTCAACATATAAAGACTTCTAGTAAAATCTGAAAGGTAAATTCCTTTCAGAGAAACATCACGGATATTGTTAGAACTTTATAGATATTTGTATTATCTAAAAATAATTTTCTAGCTGTAAGTGAAACTGACCTGAGATGTAATATTTTACATTTCTCAACAAAAAAAGAAAAAGTAAAATGACAAATAAACAATTTAACCAAGAGACCATTTAGCTTTAAATCTTAGCTTTAAAAAATTCTACTAATCTTTATTCTTATACTGAATATTTAAAAGATAAAAAATCAGGTTCAAATGCTTTTCCTGAAAAGTAAGTCTATCAAAAGTTTTAAATTTATCAAAATTATTCCTCTTCAGATTCTGCGTGAAAAGCGTGAAGATAAAAAATACTTACGCATGTGGGCAGATATATTTGATGTGTGAACTTCTGATACCTGCCAAGGCTTCTGCCCATCCATGCCTGATGGAAAAATTATTCAAATAACGTTATGAGATACTATTTTAAGTTCCAATAAATTAGTAACAGAATAGAACTGTAAAAAATTGTGAGGAAAAATGTAACCTACTTAATATATTTTTACACTGTTCACCATTGTTGTTGTTGTTAGGTGCCACTGAGTCAGTTTCAACTCTTAGTGACCCTATGTACAACAGAAAGAAACACTGCCCGGTCCTGCACCATCTTCACAAGCCTTGCTATATTTGAGCCCATTGTTGCAGCCACTATGTCAATCCATCTTGTCGAGGGTCGTCCTCTATTTCGCTGACCAAGCATGATGTCCTTCTCCAGGGACTGGTCCTTCCTGATAACATGTCCAAAATACGTGAGACCGATCTCACTATTGTTCACTCCTAAGGAGCATTCTGGCTGTACTTCTTCCAAGACAGGTTTGTTCATTCTTCTGGCAGTCCATGGTGTATTAAATATTTTTTGCCAACACCATAATTCAAATGTGGCAATTCTTCTTCACTCTTCCTTTTTTATTGTCCAGCTTACACACGCATACAGGGCAATAGAAAGCACCATGGCTTAGGACAGGCGCACCTTAGTCTTCAAGGTGACATCTTTGCCTTTTAACACTTTAAGAAGTCTTTTGCAGCAGAATTGCCCAGTGAAATACGTCGTTTGATTTCTTGACTACTGCTTCTGTGGGCGTTGATTACGGATCGAAGTAAAATGAAATCCTTGACAACTTCAGTCTTTTCTCCATTTGTCATGATGTTGCTTATTGGTCCAGTTGCGAGGATTTCTGTTTCCTTTATGTGGGGTGTAATCCACGCTGAAGTCTGTAGTCTTTGATCTTCATCAGTAAGTGCTTCAACTGCTTTCAGCAAGCAAGCACCATCAATACCATTAAAACAACTGCCACCACCTAGAAATGACTCAACTGTTGCTATTTCAATTTATCTATGCATAAAGATGATCTTTCAACATTTCTGAAAAGCACTATGTTCTCCATATATCTCCAGAGGGGTGCACAATTTCCAAATACAGATATATTTTATGTCTTTTTAAATTCGTAACGAAGTGCCCACAAAGTAGGTAAGATCAAGAACGTAATGCACATTTCATGTGAAGAGAGATGCTTCAGAGGAGTAAAGACAGTCAGTTGTCTAATATCTGTACATGTTTACTACAGTATTAAAAACAACTTTAACATTTTCCTCATGTGTACATGTATATATATACATATGCATATATATATATATATGTGTTCAAAACAGAATACCTGAAAAATTGAAAAAATTTATATCAACTATAATCCTTCTAGCCGGAATAAGCAGTTAATCTTTTTGATTTATCTCCTCCCAATTTCTCCATGCATAATAAATGATACAGATTTTATTAAAGTGGGCTCATACTACATGAACCACAGCCTTATCTACCCTGAGACTGGAAGAGCTAGATGGTGTCTGGCTACCACTACCAACTGTTCTAATCAGGGCCACAATAGATGGACCCTGATAGAATGAGGGAAAAATATGGAATAGAACTTGAAATTCCAGGGAAAAAAAAAACACAATGAATATCAAAAACAAATAAATATCAAAATAAATGAAACCTACTGGACTGGTTGAGACTGGAAGACTCCCCAAGATTACTGCCCCAAGATACTCTTCAAACCTTGAACTGAAACTAATCCCTGAGTCATCTTGTAGCTAAATAACAAATTGGCTCAAAAAATAAGATCATCTGTAAGTACTGTGTTCCTTTAAAAAACGACCTATATGAGATCAAATAGTCAACAATTACTTTAAAACAAAGGTGAGAATATTAGGGGGCAGGGAAACTACATTAATGGAAAGGGAACAATCAGAATAGAAATAATGAGAATGTTCATATACTGCGAAGAATGTAACCCATGTCAATGAACAATCTGTGCAGATACTGTTGAATGGGAACCTAAACTGCTGTATGAACCTTCATTGAAAACATATTATTAAAAAAAAAGGGGGGGGTCTCATATTTCACTATATATACTACACAGTTTCCTGCTAGGAGTTGTGCATGTATGCTTACATGTGCCCGTTTATGTGTGTGTTTGTGGATATGAGTATGGGGGGGGTGTGAGCATCTGTGTATTGATCAATATTCATATAACATTATAACCTACGCACAGTCTAAGAGTTGTAGGTGTACATGTGAATATAAGAATGTATGTATGTATATGTATCTGTGTGTGTGAGACAGAACGTGTATATGGGAACGTGTACACGTGTGAATGTGTGGGTGTGTATGTATACATAGATATACACATACATACTACATGCACAAACTCAATCTTCCTAACCATCCTAACAGGTACTATTAACCCCATTTTATAGATGAGAAACTGAGAAATAGAGAAGCTTAGGAACGTGCCCAAGGTCACATGTCCATAAGCCCAATAAATTATATGCAAATGTAAAATATGTAATAAAAATAATCTTTGTCAAATGATTTTAACGAAGTGGGACATTGACGGCTGCTAAGGCTTCATAGAAAAGATGGTATCTAAATTGGGGTTTATCTACTTATTCTGTGAATTAAAACAAAAAACCAAAAAACATTTTGCTGTGCCAGAGTGTAGAAAATGCTCAGTGTATGAGGGACTTGTCAGGAAGACATATGAATCAGCTTGAAGGGGCTCCCACTGGTCAAATCAGGAACAAATGAGTATTAAATGATATTTATGGATTACCACCCACTGAATAAAACAGGAATCCATGAATTCATACAGATAGAAATTTATTAATAAAACAATTAATGGGGAGAAGGGAAATCTCTTCCTTACAGTTGAATGCCAACTAATAAATGTAAGAAGGAATGATGGAAACAAAAAACTGTCATACAGGTGACTGATTCAGGCAGTAGTTGTCAATGGATCCTTGAGGCTGATAGGTTGAGATCTAATGAGGAACGAGATACTGACATGATCTCAGAAAACCTCTCCACAACATATTAGTCCATCACAAAAAGAAAAACAGTGTATTTAAAATGCAGAAATCTGGCAGACAGCCACACAGCCAGATGATCAAGGTCAACATCTTGGTCAATATCGTGTGCCTCCTGAAGTGAGGTACTGAGAAGTGCACAGCATCGTCTCTGTGACATTCCTAACACAAGGCATGACCCGGTTCAGCAAGGCTGCATAATAGCCAAAAAGTGAAAACAACCCGAATGTCCATAAATGGACAAATAGATAAACAAAATGTGGTACATACAGTGGAATACTACTTAGCCACAAAGAGAAATGAGTCTTGATAAATGCTACAAATGGATGAAACTAGAAAACAAAAACCCTAAGTGAAAGAAGCCAGTCACAAAAGACCATTTATATGAAATGTCCAGAATAGGCAAATTCATAGAGACATAAAGTAGATTAGTGGTTGCCAGGGACTAGGGCTTGGGAGTCATTTCTAAAGGGCACAGGTTTCTTTCTGAGGTGATGGAAATGTTCTAAAATTGATGGTGGCGATGGGTGCACAAATAACTATACTAAAAACCACTGAATTGTACACTTTAAATGTATGAATTATACAGCATGCAAATTATATCTCAATAAAGCTGCTACCAAAAAAAAAAAAAAAAGAATCCATGACTGAGTTTAAGTCATGAGGAAACATTATATAGACAGATACAAGTTGAGGGTCATTCTACAGAATGTACGGAATTTAAGGCCGTACTCTTCAAAGTCATAACGGATGTAGAAGACAGAAAGATGGAAGAACTGTTCCAGATTGAAGATATGACAACTAACACATATCGTGGAAAGACCCTCAATCAGAAAGGAAATAGATGGCATTGGGACAGCTGGTAAAACTTGAATGGGGTCCGTGGATTGTATGGTAGAGTTGTACCGATGTTGATTTCCTAATGTGGAGTGCTGTATACCGGTTATGTAGAAGTATCTGTCTTAGGTTGGGTTCTCTAGAAAAGCAAAACCAGTGAAGTGCATATATGTATGTATATATCTATACATACATAAACCAAAACCAAACCTGTTGCCGTCGAGTCGATTCCAAATCATAGAGACCCTATAGGACAGAATAGAACTGCCCCATAGGGTTATAAGGAGCGGCTGGTAGATTCAAACTGCCGACCTTTTGGTTAGTAGCCAAGCTCTTACTCTTAACCCCTGCACCACCAGTGCTCCTACACATATGTACACACACACACACACATATATATATATATATAAAATTTTTTAAATAAATTAAATTTTAAAAATGGCACACCCAACTCAAGAAGTTTCCCAGGCTGAGCCAACCTGAGTTAGAGTTACATTAACAGTTGCAGACCAACTGATAAATTCTTCTCTCTCTGCCAGACTCAACAACTAGAATCACTTATTCCCCTACAGGTCACTGAAATTGGCCAAGTTTGGTCTTCTCTGGGCCTCAGTTTCTCATTTAAGATGGATTCCTGAGGTGAAATACGGGCCAATGAGTACAGCCCTTAGGTTACATGTTGCTCACTGCTGATCTAGACTCTTTAGTGACTTCAGGGTAAGGGGTACAAGAGTGACAAAGTTGAGGGAAATGAGTTGGCTGTCCTAAGTCTGAAGACTGAGAAATCATTTTAAGATAGGGTTAATGGTTACAGATTCTTCAGACGGTTATCACCTTCAGCTATCTGTGAAAAGAAGTGTAAAGCTATGGGCTTATTAATTGATTCAAACGCATATTATAGAACTACGTCAAGCAACCACTTTAATGGGTTTTTCTTTTTTAACATGTCAATATACTACCAGCTATTCAATATATTTATTTTTTGGTGTTAATAACCTCTAAGTTTTCTGCATAAGATTTCCCACAGAATTAGGAATAATATTTCACAAGCAAAACATGTATAGTTAGTTTTCCAACTAGTACACTTGCATTTTATTGTGTACAATAAGCAACTCTCTCCAGGAATGAGAAATACTTGCCATCTGGGCTGCCACTCTCAGAACCTGGGTCCACACCAAATATTACTAG